TTCCTGCTGCATTTCTAGCCTAGGCTCAAGCTTGTCCTTCAGCAGCACCGGATGGCTGCATCGGGCTAAAAGCCGTGAAGGTAATTGCCCGCTTGTCTTGTAAGTTGGGCTAATAGTGTGGAAATCAAAGGTAGTTGATCCATTACAAATGATAACCTACTACATGCAGAGAGAGAGCAGTGGATGTGGTTTATCTTCACATTAGTGAGGCTTATCGGAGAATCACAGCGTGGTTGAGGTTGGAAGGGACCTCTGGAGACCCAACCCCTGCTCAAAGCGAGGTCACCGGGAGCAGGTTGCCCAGGACCGTGTCCAGTTGGGTTTTGACTGTCTCTGAGGTTGGAGACTCTGCAGCTTCTCTGGGCAACCTGTGTCAATGCTTGACCACCCTGACAGTAAAAAAAGTGTTTTCCTACGTTAAATGGAACTTCTTGTATTTCAATTTGTGCCCATTTCCTCTTGTCCTGTCATTGGGCACTGCTGAGAAGAGCCTGGCTCTGTCTTCTCTGCTGTCTTCCACCAGGTATTTCAACTCTCTCAGCCTCCTCTTGTATGTCAGATACTCCAGTCTCTTACTGATTTTCATGGCCCTTCACTGATCAAGATAAACGACATCCACTGCCCTCCACTCATCCGCTGAGCCTGTCGTCTCATCACGGAAGACTACTACATTGGTTAAGCATGCTTTCCTTTTCATAAATCCAAGCTGACTACCTCCCGAACACCTCCTTGTCCTTGTCTAGAAGTGGTTTCCAGGAATAGTTGCTCCATCACCTTCCCAGGGATCGAGGTGGGGCTGGCCCTGTCGTTCCTCCTCCTTCCCCTTTTTGAAGGGAGGAGTGACATTTGCTTTCTTCCAGGCCTCAAGAACCTCTCCTGATCACCACGACCTTTCAAAGATAATCGAGAGTGGCCTCACAATGACGTTGGCCAGCTCCCTCAGCACTTGTGGGTGCAACCCATTAGGTTCCATGGACTTGTGTATGTCTAGTTTGTTTAAATGTTCCCTAACCTGGAAGGAGGGTGGGTCTTCCTTGCTCCAGACTTTCCCCCTGGTCTCAGGGGCCTGGGATTCCTGAAGCTGGTCTTAGAATCACAGAAGGGTTTGGGTTGGAAGGGACCTTCAAAGATCATCTAGTCCAACCCCCCTACCGTGGGCAAGGACATCTTCCACTAGATCAGCCTCATCTTGAACACTTCCAACGATGGCGCATCCACAACCTCTCTGGGCAACCTGTGTCAGTGTCTCACCTCCCTCATCCTAAAACATTTCTTCCTTACGTCCAGTCTAAACCTACCCTCCTTCAGTTTAAAGCCGTTGACCCTTGTCATGACGCGACAGGCCCTGGTAAAAAGTCTCCCTCCATCTGTTTTATAAGCCCCCTGTGTATGCTGAAAGACTGCAGTAAGGTTTCCCCAGAGCCTTCTCTTCTCCAGGCAGAACAACCCCAACTCTCTCAGCCTTTCTCCACAGCAGAGGTGTTCCAGCCCCCTGACCATTTTCGTGGCCCTTCTCTGGACCTGCTCTAGCCGTGAAGACTGAAGAGAGGAGGCATTGAACATCTCAGCCTTTTCCGTGTCCTTTAGCATCAGGTCCCCTGCCTCACCTAGAAGCAGACCCACATTTTCCTTTTGCTGCTGACGTAGTTGTAGAAGCCTTTCTTGTTGCCCATCATGTGCATTTGCTTTTCGCCCTTTTGACTCTTGCCTCCCATAACATCCACACTGACCGCGCTGGTGGAGACCTGGGGGGACCTTATCAATGTATATAAATCCCTGAGAGGAGGCAGTAAAGGCAGCAGAGCCAGGCTCTTCTCAGTGGTGCCCAGTGACAGGACAGGAGGCAATGGACACAAACTGAAACGTGAGGTTTCATTTGCCGTAAGAAAAAAAACTTCTACTGTGAGGGTGACCAAGCACTGGCACAGGTCGCCCAGGGAGGTTGTGGAGTCTCCATCCTGGGAGATAGTCAAAACCCAATTGGATGTGGACCTGGCCAGCCTGCTCCTGGTGACCCAGCTTGAGCAGAGGGGTTTGGTCCCCAGAGGTCTTTGCCAACCTCAACTATTCTGTGATTCTGTTATCAAACACTGAATAAGCTGATGTATTTAATTAAATCACTGAAAATCTGCAAAATCTTAAAAACTGCTTGCTATGACCTCTTGACATACCTTGATTATTCCAGCTTAAATTGGCTGATTAATCACGGTTTCAAGTCTCAATTTTTGTCATTCACTTTGGGATTCGTACACAATAGTGGACTTAAGGAGCTCTCGGACCTTGGCTGAGGTTGGGGATTCTGCATTCGGTGCTACACAAATACGTATGAAGACAAAGCCCTTGTCACGACGCTTGTCAAACGAAACTGGATAGAAGTCAGCGGAGACAACGCATACTCGCTGCCTGTGTTGTGTCTTAGCGTGGGCTGGGTTTGCTTGCCTGCTCCTGGGCGCCTGACGCCCTTCGAGCCGCCCTGCTGCCTTCAGCCTGGCCTCCAGCTGCTGCTCCAGAAGGGTGTGGGTGGCCCATAGGTCCCACATCCTCTCTGCCTGCTCTGTGGGCATCTTGAAGTACCACACAGCACCTAGAAAGGCACCCTAGATGCTGGTGTAAAACCAAATTTTGAGCTAGGGATGAAGTACTGGCTGTAATCCTTCGTTAAGTAAGGTTTCTTATATTAAAACAGTTGCCTGGTGAAAGTCTTGGAAGGCAGATAGGCGCAGCAGATGGGAGGCTTGGAGGCCGCAGGTATGCGTTTGAGGATTCAGCTAGCCAAGAAGAAGAAAGAACATAACGTGTTCACGGCGAGGAGCTCAGCCTGATTTCTAAGAAAATAAGTGCATTCACATTTCTCCCGAGGAAGATGGAATACCCTACGAATCGAGACAAAAGAAAAGGATCTTGTGAAAAAGGACGAGCAGATGAGATCGTGGCTGTATCTTCTCAGACGGCAGGCACAAGGCCCACCTTCAGTATCAGATACTCACCCGCATTGATAGATTTTTGCCTGTCAATCCGGACATTACCGTCCCAGATTATAGATGACTTCAGGGAGCTTGGAAAATTGCTGAAGGACAAGCGTTCCCCCACGAACTGGGAAACAGAAATTCAATTTTCCATCGAAAGGGCTTGTTAAGCTGGTCAAGAGCTTTAAACTCCTAACATGAAAGTGGTCTGGGAGGGAGAGAATAAATGACTGCTTTTGGAAGGGACAGGGGAAGTCTGCTCCCCTGTGCCAAGGTAGGATCGAGTGTACCTAAACCATTCCTCCTAGACATCCGAGTCGTCCGTTCATACACAGATGGCCGAAGGGGATCCCACGGCCGCCTTTGTTTCAGCCTCTGAACACTTGGAAAATTTTGCCTAATAGCTAATCAAAATCTCCTTTGTTAGAGACGCAGCTGATTTCTTTTGTTTCTCTTCTGCCCGGTAGCAATGCAGAACAATTAATAACCGATGCTTTTATAAGAGGGGTGGGGTGTTTTTGCCAGACTTCTAACATGACTTCCCCCTCCTTCCTCCGAGTCTTTTTCTGGCTGTGGTTTCCCTCTTTCCCCGCTGGACCAGACCAGTCTAGTTCTTGAGTATTTCCTGATGATTCCTTAATTTCCTGTCATTTCTGTTGTCGTGTAGCCTGTCGCCGGTTTTTTTGTCTCAAGACCACAGTGCTAAGAGTTTAGACACAGCAATCCCGGTGAAGCCTTTCCCTGCTACGTGAAAAGCAGTGATTTATTCCCACGTCAAACTGATCGAAGCCGACACCACCTCTTTTTTCCTCCTTGTCGCAGCATTGGTGTTGTATGGCTGTTTGACGGGATGGGTTAAATTTAAGATTGCCCCGGAAAAGAAAGAAGGTAGGGGTGCCTCTTCAGGGGCAGTAACAACTGTGCCGTGAGACTGTCGGAGTGCAGTCCATCTCCTCCCAGCCTTGCACCTCCGTCTCCTCCCACGCTGCCCTCTCTCCAGTCATCCACGATACTTAAATTATTTTTAATCTACCATTCAAGCCATTAATGAGGAGAGTGATTAGGACCAGACCCAGAGCTAGCCCAGTGGCCAGCGTGAGAGGCTGTCCTGGCATGGCAGTGGATCGTTAACTCTTGGAAAATAATTCTTCAGCTAGTCGTGCATCCATCTGAATAGTGGTTATACCTAGACTAGCTTTTTTTTTTCTCACTGTGCTTCTAAGAATGTTTTTTTTTTTACGTTCTTCCAAATGAAAAAGACAAAATATTTTTGGCGTACCGTTACTCAGGATGCTGAGGACAGGGTTATCCTGCAAAACAGGGATATATCCAGATAATACGGGAACTAGAGAGTGAGCTGGGAGTTGGCATGCAAGGAAACCTCATGGAATGAGCCTGCGTCTGCTGGAATTTCGGCTCCGTCTTGGGACCAGCCCTGCTGTACCCAACCTGGCAGCTCTGCAGGGTTGCATGTGTGTCGCTGGCAGCTCCAGGAGAGCACGCGAGCTTTTGTGTTTGTGCAGTGCTGCGCCTGAGCTGAAATGGTCTCCATGAGCCCAAAGGGTGTTGGCACTAAACCGTATCTAGCAAAATTTCTTAAATTGTCTTCAGTGGGTTAAGAGCTATCGCTCCTTGCCCCACTCCCGCTCCTTACAGCTTCTCCACCTGGGACTCTGAGCTTCTTCCCCCCGATGCCTTCATACCACGCTCCTACAACCCCAGCCAGCTCTTCTCCTCCTTTCTCCACAGAGGCATAAGGGCAGGATTTTGAGTTCCTTTGCGGTGGTTCCTACTCTCGTATTCTCTTCCTTTATTTCCTTACGCATTTCTGTCCAGAGCAAGTTTTGGACAGTGGAGGAGGCAGTTCCTGCATGGGCTACTCAAAAGTACGTGGGTGACCCCTAACACAGCGCATCCTGCTAGTCCTTAACTTTCTCTGTAAAGAAAAATTGGGGATATCTTGGTCTCTACAGCAGGTAAAATACCCTCTCACCCCCAAGAGATGAACTCGTATTACTTGTTTCCCCCTCATCCCTAACTATCCCGTCAAAGAAGGAGATTGGACTGAATTAATGCGAGTTGTTCTTACAGAGCCGGTGTTAGTTTGTCGGCTGCCTGTTGCCTTCTAGATACTTGCTAATGAACTAACAATTGGTTGTAGTACCCGTTAGCGTATTGAAACGAAGCCTACTGTTTTACAGTTTTCAAGTAGCTGCTTCCCCTCTTGTTCCCCTACTTCTCCATGACCTTAAAGAAAACCCCTTTGCTCCAGGAAGCCTCGAAGACAACCACAAACGGTTCAGAACTTACCAAGGGGGATTCCTCCAGCTTTCTAAAGCCACCTCTTCACTCTCTCCCTCTCCATCTTCCTTTTCAAAGCCTCTTCCCGGGGGTTGCTACCAGCAGGAACACATCTTTTGGATTTATACCCAATACGGCTCGAACAACTCCCATCTTCGCCGAGACTGGCTCTCAGCACACCGTGCAGAGGCATCGGCCGGTTCACAGCCACGTCCCTGGAGAGGTCTTTCCATTTATAGTCTATTGTATTCTTGAACTTGGTACATTCTTTTTAGCTTAAATGGCCTTTCATCTATTTATACTGCTGTATGACTCGAACTTTATAAATCCTATCGTAAGACCTATTTACTGGACATGCATTGTGTGAAACCCGCAGTCTTGCAGCATTCACCATTAGCTGTCCGTAGAAGCCGGGCAAGACAGATCATTCATACGGATGAGAAACAGTATTCAAGAGAGTTCTTCCAAAATACTTTTCCTTTGCATTTTTTGTGCCATCTTTATTTACTTCTTGTTTCTGCACTCCTCTTTCTTAAAGTACCTGGTCGCAGTTGATTTTTGGTAAACACCAAAGCATCGCTCTTCTGAACACTTAAGCTTTCACTGTGTCACTTATTTGTCTGCCCTCTTCCCATTAACTGGTGGACTTTTTTGTTTTTCTGTCTTGCTTTTAATGCATGTCTAGATCCACTTTTTGGTGGCATTATGCGCCTTTTCCCAGGTCCCCAAGCCAACCTTCTGAAAATGAAGAAACGGAACAAGAGGTGACGGGGAAAGCAATGCTTTCTGTGCCCCAGCATCAGTGCTAGGGGAGCCGGATCGCTCCATTTGGAACATAAATCAAGCAAAATTAGGTAATTCGCCCCCTCTACCGTGCTCTGGTGAGACCCCCCCTGGAGCACTGCGTCCAGCTCTGGGGTCCTCAGCACAGGAAAGACACGGACCTGTTGGAGCGGGTCCAGAGGAGGCCACAAAAATGATCAGAGGGTGGAACACCTCTGCTATGGAGAAAGGCTGAGAGAGTTGGGGTTGTTCAGCGTGGAGAAGAGAAGGCTCCAGGGAGAC